TCCTGACATGGGTACAATTTGTGAAGCCCATTTCTGGTGTCCCCCGCCGTGATATTCCTGGAATAAGCGGCGTAAAACCATACTCACTCACTCACTCACTCACCTAGTTCTTCCTTTAGGTTATCCATCCGAAATCGTCTCGATACTGTTATACATGACAGTGGAATTTATAGTTCAACAATGTTGGAATTTTATTACATTGTTTCTGCTGAGATTCAGTAGAAGTTCATAGCATTGTGTTTAGACAATAATTAGTTGTCAGAAATGTATTACTACCTCGTGCAGGCAGTGGTGTTAAGGCGCTTTTAGAGTTAAGTGATCTAGAATCTTCTGGAACAGTTAGACTATTCCAGCACTGTATGTGATCTTATAGAAGACTATTAAAGGGGGCATAAGATGGCCTCTCGCATCGCAAGACCAGCGTTTGTGAAACCTATTATTTTCACCCTGGGTATCCAGCCTAGGCCTATTTTGAAAGCTTGCCCACTGTTGCTGCTAGGTGAATATTATTACCACTGCTATTATATTTTTTACCGCCATTGTTATTATACTGCCACTGAATGTTGTACATAATGATACATGTCCATATGGATACATGTCCATAAGGATACATGTCCATACGGATACATGTCCATAAGGATACATGTCCATATGGATACATGTCCATACGGATACATGTCCATAAGGATACATGTCCATATGGATACATGTCCGCACGGATACATGTCCATACGGATACATGTCCATAAGGATACATGTTCATAAGGATACATGTCCATACGGATACATGTCCATACGGATACATGTCCATATGGATACATGTCCGTACGGATACATGTCCATAAGGATACATGTCCATAAGGATACATGTCCATATGGATACATGTCCATATGGATACATGTCCATACGGATACATGTCCATACGGATACATGTCCATAAGGATACATGTCCATACGGTTACATGTCCATAAGGATACATGTCCATAAGGATAAATGTCCGTACGGATACATGTCCATACGGATACATGTCCATAAGGATACATGTCCATAAGGATACATGTCCATAAGGATACATGTCATTACGGATACATGTCCGTACGGATACATGTCCATACGGATACATGTCCATACGGTTACATGTCCATAAGGATACATGTCCATAAGGATACATGTCCGTACGGATACATGTCCGTACGGATACATGTCCATAAGGATACATGTCCGTACGGATACATGTCCATTCATGAAGTTGGTGATGTTAACACCGGATACGGGTGTGTAAGTTGAGTTTTATGTGCAATATTACTGCGGGCACACCCGACTGGGCTTTACACATTGTACCCTGGGGAAACGAGCCTGGGCCATCGGCTTAACGAGTGAACGCTTTAACCACTATGCTACCCCGTCGGTACCACTACAGATAACATGACTAAATAATGACAATTAAGTAAATTGAACTACACTAAGTGTATGCTGCATATATCTGCTCGGGGACGAGCTTCATGAGGGAAGTCATTTGGGTGGGGAATAGGAATAACAATACAGAAGAGATGAGTGTGATTACAATTTGGGGAGATTGATGTGATTTGACAGTGGGCGGAGACATGGGGGAGTTGGCAGTACATCCTTGGTGGTTATAGGCGTATTGCACTGTGTGAACCTGAATCGATGTGGTTATAGGCGTATTGCACTGTGTGAACCTGAATCGATGTGGTTATAGGCGTATTGCACTGTGTGAACCTGAATCGATGTGGTTATAGGCGTATTGCACTGTGTGAACCTGAATCGATGTCTGGCCATAACGTGTTCAATGTATAGTCGAACCCCGTTATGTCGTGTAACTTCGAGATATCTCGACATTCGGGATGGATTCAGTCGGATGGTCTCACCCCTTTTGTCACATACTATAATGGCAAATGCCACTGTTCTCCCACTGTCCAATGCTTGTTATCCAAGTGGTAAAATGGATTAGTGCCGACCATACCCTATTTGTCAGACACCCCATGAGAATAAATACATGAAAACACTTTCATTGCTTACATTACATGCATACTTCATATAGCACTTTGAATTGATAACAAGAGTCAAACCAATTTCACAAGTCTGCTCACAACGTCCAAATGCCGCATTAGGGCCTTGCCCTCTACGATAACCAGTCTTTGATTCTGCCAAGACTGTTGTCGATCCTGTCAAAGTCACCTACTATTCACATTCGCAAAATGCAACTTGTATATGTCTGTATTTTGGGCCAGCGTTCTCTATATGATTGACGTATCACAAATTGTCAATGCTCCTCAAAGACATCGGGGCCACACCCGTCTCACTTAAACAACTCAACTAAATACGAAAGTGTATATACGTCAAGATTGAGTGTACATCTAGTACATCACACACAAATCCCTGCATCTACAGTAAACTACGGTTATAACGAACACGCTTATAACGAACTGACGGATATAACGAACATACTTTTAGTTCAGACTATTTGCTGCAATTATGCTGTATATATGCGTATAACGAACTACGGTTATAACGAACTAAAAATAATAGTCCCTTTCAGTTTGTTATAACCGTAGTTTACTGTACGTCAACAGGGAGTGTAAATCAAATACATAACACACAAATTCCTGCATATACGTCAACACGGAGTGTAAATCTAGTACATCACACACATATCCCTGCATATACATCACCAGGGAGTGTAAATCAAGTACATCACACACAAATTCCTGCATATACGTCAACAGGGAGCGTAAATCTAGTTACATAACACACATATGCCTGCATATACGTCAACGGGGTGTGTAAATCTAGTACATTACACTCATATCCATGCATATACGTCAACAGGGAGTGTAAATCTAGTACATCACACACAAATCCCTGCATATACGTCAACAGGGAGTGTACATCTAGTTACATCACACACAAATGCCTGCATCTACGTCAACAGAGAGTGTAAATCTAGTACATCACACACAAATCCCTGCATAAACGTCAACAGGGAGTGTAAATCTAGTACATCACACACAGATCCCTGCATATACGTCAACGGGGAGTGTAAATCTAGTACATCACACACAGATCCCTGCATATACGTCAACAGGGAGTGTAAATCTTGTGCATCACACACAAATCCCTGCATATACGTCAACAGGGAGTGTAAATCTAGTACATCAAACACAGATCCCTGCATATACGTCAACAGGGAGAGTAAATCTAGTACATCACACACAAATCCCTGCACATACATGTACGTCAACACGGAGTGTACATCTAGTACATCACACACAGATCCCTGCATATACGCCAACAGGGAGTGTACATCTAGTTACATCACACACAGATCCCTGCATATACGTCAACAGTGAGTGTAAATCTAGTGCATCACACACAAATCCCTGCATATACGTCAACAGGGAGTGTAAATCTAGTACATCACACACAAATTCCTGCATATACGTCAACAGAGAGTGTAAATCTAGAACATCACACAGAAATCCCTGCATATACAACGGGGAGTGTAAATCTAGTACATCACACAGAAATCCCTACACATACATGTACGTCAACACGGAGTGTACATCTAGTACATCACACACAAATTCCTGCATATACGTCAACAGGGAGTGTAAATCTAGTGCATCACACAAAAATTCCTGCATAAACGTCAACAGTGTGTGTAAATCTCGTACATCACACACAAATCCCTGCATATACGTCAACAGGGAGTGTAAATCTAGTACATCACACACAAATTCCTGCATATACGTCAACAGGGAGAGTAAATCTAGAACATCACACAGAAATCCCTGCATATACAACGGGGAGTGTAAATCTAGTACATCACACAGAAATCCCTACACATACATGTACGTCAACACGGAGTGTACATCTAGTACATCACACACAAATCCCTGCATATACGTCAACAGGGAGTGTTAATATAGTACATTACACACGTATGCCTGCATATAAGTCAACAGGGAGTGTATATCTGGTACATGACACACATATCCCTGCATATACATCAACAGGGAGCGAAAATGTAGTTACATCACACATATATGCCTGCATATACGTCAACAGGGAGTGTAAATCTAGTGCATCACAAACAAATCCCTGCACAAACGTCAACAGGGAGTGTAAATCTAGTTACATCACACACAAATGCTTGCATATACGCCGGCGGGGAGTGTACATCTAGTTACATCACACACAAATCCCTGCATATACATGTACGTCAACAGGGAGTGTACATCTAGTACATCACACACAAATCCCTGCATAAACATGTACGTCAACAGGGAGTGTAAATCTAGTTCATTACACACAAATCTCTGGAAATATATCAACAGGGAGTGTAAATCTAGTACATCCCACACAAATCCCTGCATATACGTCAACAGGGAGTGTAAATCTAGTACATCACACACAAATCCCTGCATAAAAGGGAGTGTAAATCTAGTTCATTACACACAAATCCCTCCATATTCGACGGGGAGTATAAATCTAGTACAATCACACACAAATCCCTGCATATACAACGGGGAGTGTAAATCTAGTACATTACACGCAAATCCCTGCATGTACGTCAACAGGGAGAGTAAATCTAGTACATCACACAGAAATCCCTGCACATACGTCAACGGGGGGTGTACATCTAGTTACATCACACAAAAATCCCTGCATAAACGTCAACAGTGTGTGTAAATCTCGTACATCACACACAAATCCCTGCATATACGTCAACAGGGAGTGTAAATCTAGTACATCACACAGAAATCCCTGCACATACGTCAACGGGGAGTGTACATCTAGTTACATCACACACAAATCCCTGCTCATACGTCAACAGGGAGCGTACATCTAGTACATCACACACAAATCTCTGCATGTACGTCAACAAGGAGTGTAAATCTAGTTTATCGCACACAAATCCCGCCAATTAACGGTGACACAACGTATTAATCCAGTACATCAGAAACACGTAATTTGTTACAAGGTGTCCTCGAAATAGCTGCACATTCCCGTCGTTACCTGGAACAGTTGACACCCTTAGTGCACTGAACATTAAGATGGTCTCATCACCACATACATTTTAACAAATTGTAATAAATTACAATGTCAGAGGCAATTTGTACTGATTTTATGAGCGCTTCAAGCAATACCTGGTTTCCAACTCTTCATGTGTTCACAGTCTCAATGGGTGTTACCCCTGTCACTCCCATATTGCACAAAACAGAACCAAATGCCCTCCTGAACGCCTTATTTTTCAGTGGGTAAATGATAAAGTTAACCCCGGAATTGGCTAAACCAAACAGAATCGCGAAGGACATTCCATTCGAGGTCACCCCAGTCGCTAAAGACACACAGAGCATGACATGACAGGGCGTCCAGAAGAGGAGATAGGCGACACAGACAATCAGCAGCAGTCTTACTGTTCGACACGTTCCCCGCCAGTCTGAGTATGTTTGCACTCCAGTACCATCGATGGCTCTTCTCTGCCCGAGAGCAATCACGAGTATCCGGATGTAGAGAACACTTACTACAACAAGGGTGAGGAAGAAGACTGATGTCTGAGAGAGAAGCTGATATATGCTGTCCAAGACATGCACAAATGAACACTCTCCGACCTTGTCGTACCTGTTGAAGAAGATCACACACGATGCTACGGCTGCTGCAAAGAACCATGATCCCGCTATGACACATCTAGTGCTGAAAGGCGTGACAAGACGGGTGTAGGTAAATGGATGGGCTATATAGATGTACCGGTCTACTGCGATGAACACAATACTTGCATTAGAAGCAGATGTACTTAAAACGTAGGTAACGTACAGGGTCAAGCAGAACACCTTGTTATGGCCGATCACCTCGTGGGTGCTTTCTAGATGGAAAAATGCAAGACTGAATACGTATACTCCAGCAAGGAGGTCCGATGTGGCCAGAGAGACGACGTACATGTTTTGGATGGTCTGAAGTCTTGGGGTCTTGAGAACGGCAACAATGGTCAGGATGTTCCCGAGGCAGATGATCGTGGCGGCTATGATGTAGAGAACTGGAGCAATTGTGAAAAACAGAACACACGACTGTGGAGAGGCACACTCGTCCTCAAGACGGACTTCACTGTCCGGTTGACCAGCCATTGTCATCAACAACACTGACGCGTTCTGTCCGCCCTGACCTGCAGCACATTAGGGAACACACGACTGTGGAGACGCAAGACGGACTTTACTGTCCGATTGACCAGCCATTGTCATCAACAACACTGAAGCGTTCTGTCCGCCCTGACCTGCAACACATTACGGGGCGATGCTTGAGTTTATTAAGCTTCGGTCTGATCGTTATTATAATGGGCTAGGATGTGTTTCATGAGCGCTTCAATATACACATCCATTGTGTTCCTTAGCCTTTCTCATAGAAGTAATCTGCAATGAATGCGCTCAGATCCATAATGATCTATCAATGTACCCAGTGATTCATTATGTATATTTAAGGAATACATTTAGTAGTCCAGAGTGTTCACAGAATAACGATCGAAATCAATTAATTATAGAACTCAACTAACCAGTGCATTCATTGTGCCTCGATGGTATTTGGAATTGTCGTTAGCGCATTAATTCCTTCCATGACGAGAGCGCCAGAAATTACTTAGGCATTTATTTAAAGGGAGGTCGGGTATCTTAGTAGCGTTCGCTAGTCACACCGAAGACCCGGGTTGGATTCCTCACATGGGTACAATGTGTGAAGCCCATTTCTTGCGTCACCCGCCGTGATATTGCTGGAATATTGCAAAAAGCGGCGTAAAACCATACACACTCAACCATTTCTCCAAAAGAGTTCAATGCGAAACTAAGTTACTTACAAAAGCTGCACCCATGTTGGTGATAAGTGAAATTATAGAAGTGTGAGTGAGTGATTGAGTGATTGATTGAGTGAGTGAGAGTGGGTGGGTGGGTTAGTGATTGAGTGAGTGGGTATTCTCAGTTATATTAGAGTTAAGCATTCACAAAGCCGTTGGCAAATTATCCGAAATAATGATTCATAGTGCTTTATATAGGGGCCTTATGAAAATGCTTCGGTCAATGTTGTAACTTACAATAAATATTTGGGTATTACGTATTCTTCAAAATAAATATGTTCAGTAGCTTCTTAACACCTTGCTGTACACATTGTCAAAGCAAAATAAATACGTACCGTTTTCAACATTATGTAACTGCATTTTTTTACTGTAAAATTACACCGATATTATGATTCGGGAATATGGGGGATCAAAATATTATGCTGCCAATGCATAACAAATACATACCACATATTTCAAACGGTTGTTTCTTGGTATTGGCATACATGCCTAAAAAGGTTCTTGGTGAAAGCGGATGCTAGCATATGTTTGTATGTAGCCAAATAAGAGCAGTTAAATACTGGATAAAGATACTAAGAATTGAATTACGAAGATATCCTCTTCAATGTCAGTTGGATGATAATGGTAAAAACTTAAATGGATATCTAAAGAAAAAAATCAATTATTTACACGTGGATTGTACAGGATATAGGTAACATTCAAGTGTTTGTGGGAATATGTGAGTGAAAGATATATTGCACAAAACTGGTAAGAAACTATCTCATCTTCATATTCTTTAGCAATTATAGTAACTTAGTCACATCCTCAACCTGAAATGTAATTATCTGTCTTACCAGACAAATCATTGATAAGTTCTTCTTGTAAAATTAGAATTTCATTACATTATTTCAATGTAAATAAGTGTCGTAAATTAAAACTTTTGGAGCCTTACGTAGATTGAGTTGAAATTCTGCAAGAAGAAATTATTTTTCAACAAAGTACCCTTGCAGTTCTATGCAGTTCTTCCATCTGGTCTGCCAGTCATTCATGCCCCGTCTGGAGAATGATTCATGAAGATGTAATTTCTGTATATCCGCATGACTAAATGTTCTGTTTTAGTATTAGTAATGATTAAACCTGTCTGTCTGCGCTCAGCAATATTGCAGAAATATGACCACAGTCAGTAATATTTGTGTCTGGATCTGACAATCCAATGCTTGAGATCATGACTTGGGCACTGATCCATACAAATGGGTTATGGTGACATGAAATCAACCATATCAGTATTCCTCCTACTGATGAGACAAGTATACAGGCATCAAGAATCTCCATAAGTGGTGGAAGGCTGTGATTCAAACAAAAGAAAACAAGGTCACAATACCGATACAAAAGATAACATCACACATGGTCATAGTAAAATAATTTAATGCAGATTAACAACAACTTGACATGCAAACACTGTGACCTTAGGTGATACCAATACAAATATTCTTTCATTCAAATTCAAACAGATGTTTGGATCAAGTCATGTATGAAATAGTAAACAAATGCCAAACCAGTTTGAAATGTCCCATTACTGTTTAACATTTGCTAAACCTACACAAAGGAAGTAACTGCAGAATATGATTTATTTTGAAACATCTTTCCTGTAACATTATATTTTTAACAATTGTGAGTTAGCAAGTATAGAAGGGTTCAGTGTTTTCTGCACAACATCCTTGAGAAAGAGAAACAGTCAAATGCTCATGGACCAGGCATCCACCAAGACCAATGAATAACAACAAGGGGTAGTCCTCGTAAACTGAAACTAACCATAAATGATACACACTGACTGAAACGTTCACAATTTGGAACATGAAGTATCGCAGTACACTGGCGGATCCAGAGAGATGTACACTCCACCTTTTATTAGACACCTCACATGTTAACTACAACCTTGGCCAAGTCACTTGGCTAATATGTGCACCCCACCTCCTTTTCCAAAACTCTGGATCCGCCTCTGCAGTTTTTATGCTTTGATCAGCTTCAACCATATCATCATTTAGATGAAATAAATCACATGCTACATCACCCAATGCTTGTATCAGTTCTCTAAATCTGCAATATATAAACTCATAAATGTTTAATATAGAACAGCCATTTACAGTATCCTGACATTCAGCATTCCCACAGACAATGTGATACAGTACATGCCCATCACATCATTGTTGGTATTGCACAACAGTTGGATAATACCTATTTGTAGTTGCAGCCAATGGAGGTCTGCATTGTCCTGACAGATCTTTCTAAAACACTTACAATAAACACAACACATTTATGCCACCTAGTTAGGCAGTGTCAATGGTACTACTTCATAAAGTTCCTCAACATAGTGGAAAGGTAAGTATGCTTAAGCTTAGGCCATGATAAAAGAATCATTAGATTTTCATCCCTGCTGGATTACTACTAAACAAGCCACTTCACATCATTTCATTACTCTCATGTCTCTACAGATGAGGCTACTCCTATGTGGATCCATCTTTTTCTGTACTTGAAAGACACCACATGCACAGTCCAATCAAACATTCATTCTTCATGTGAAACACATCCACCTGGAGTTAACATACACAGATTCTTCGAATAGTTTGTTTGGAAAAAAGGAAAGAAAAGAAAATGCTTCTGGGATAATATGTTCTAAAATATCTAGTAATTTATTTATTTTGGCCGAACCTAATATTCTTATGCATACCTTTAAGGACCGAAATAGGCAATATGATCAAAACTTGTCTAAACTGAAACCTAAACTTCCTTATATCTTTATAAATGTAAAAAATGCTTCAAAAACAAAAAGTAGGATGACTTTTCTGAAATGTGCATTTCACTCTCTAGCCTACTTAGTGTATTTGTTTGTGGTGCATATATAAGGAGTGAGTGAGTGAGTGAGTGAGTTGGGTTTAACACCACTTTTAACAGTATTCCAGTTATATCACGGCATGTCAGCGTAATGTGGGAGGAAAGCCTGAAGTGATGCAGGTCTCAGACGTTTACCACTTTGGTGAAACCCACGAGCACGGGTATGTTGCTAACAAACCTAGAAACATAATCAGGGAAAACCGGGATTTGAACCCACAATCATAGGTTTCTGGCATGCCCAAGGGACGCAACTCTGCACAGTGAATCACGGCGCCTTAGATGACTGGGCCACCCGTGCCGGGCATATATAAGGAAGATATTCTAATATCTGCTAATTTAGACTATGGTAAATTCCTGTACATTTACGTTATAGACCAAACATATCTAAAACACACCAACACAAACGTGATATTCATTAACATGGACAGTGCACAAAATAAATGTCAGGCATATTTTCATATTGATAGCTAAATGTTTCCAAGAATGCTTTTTTACATTTTACCATACATCACCAGATATTAGCAATAATTCTGTCAAAACAACTGACAATGCCTACGCATGATAAGACATTTTAATTTTTGAAATGATTCCTGAAACATTTTAATGCAGTTCTATGTATCTATTGCTCAGAATATGACACCTCACACGATTTGTAAACATATGCTTTAACACAAATCTTGTTCACATGGTAAATTGGTTTAAAAATCAAACAGTTGCATAATCAGTCAAGTTGTGATGTACACACTTTGTGAACAGATGCATGGACACTTCTTGCAAATGTCTCATGGACGGATTATCCTATTGAAGTATGTGTAATTGTGCATGCTCTTAGGACATGAACCTTCATCTACTCCTCAGCATGCTCAGTGACAATACATCTCAATTTGTTGACACACCTATGGAAGAATAATATGTTATACATAATGAACAACACGCTGAACAACATATTAACCATTTTCTATATATATATTTTTCATCTTTCACTCTCCCAACAACAAAAAGCACAGTGGAATATCATGTAGCAGAGGCAAGAATTAGTTTTGAGGAAAACATGCCCTAATACATAGTTAGTGTTGAGGAATACCACAAACAAAAGTTTACAGACATCAAATCAGTCTTGAGAAAAACATGGTCTTATTAGGATCAGTCTTGAGCAAAACCATGGTCTTATTAGGATCAGTCTTGAGAAAACCATGCTCTTATTAGGATCAGTCTTGAGAAAAACATGCTCTTATTAGGATGGGTCTTGATAAAAACCATGGTCCTATAAAGATCAGTTTTTTTAAAAACAGTTTATTACATATCAGTCTTGAGAAAACCTGGTCTTATTAGGATCAGTCTTGAGAAAAAAAACATGGTCCTATAAAGATCAGTCTTGAGAAAAACATGGTCTTATAAGGATCAGTCTTGAGC